TACTTTTAACTGTGCTCAACTGGTTCAAATATTTGATTAAAAGTGAAATGGTCATTTTGTTGCCTCAGATAATGGAGAATATGGGATTTGTGGAGGATGTGAAAACACTAATGAGTCAACTAGGATGTGTCCCTGGTGTTTTATTATCTGATGAGAATGCAACAAAAGAACCAGCACTAGAAACTTCCAGATCAGTTTACCTTGGGAGTTCAGTCTCAACGGAATATTGTGGGAGAGCCAAAGTAATGAACTCTGCTTCAATAATTGACAAGGGTAACTCAATTCAGACTGAGGGTTTTGTTGGTCAAACTTCTTTTTCTTTGGTTGATGCAACGTTTCAAGACTCCAATTTCACTCAAACTTTTGCTGACTGCCATGATAACCACTTGCACAAGAAAATTTCGCCACAAGTGAAACCATGCATGTATATGAACAACCAGCTGACAAATAGTGTCATCAAAACTGAGGTAATTCCTCCAAACACCGACATGTGGAAGAAGCAACAAGATTCACAGTACATTCCAAAGCCACCGTTCTGCCAGGAATCTTCTGTTGGCTCATTACCTCTAGATAGTGACAGCATAATGTTAACTGAACAACAGATCTCTGGTGAAAATAGTCTTGCAAAAAGCAATTTAACTCTACCAAATTTCTTAGGATCATCTCATGGAAGATCCCATCATGCAGTGATGTACAAGTCAATTCCACATCCCAATTTTATTGCAGATGCCAGCAGACCACCACAGAAAATCATATCTTGCACAGAGCATATTGGAGATGGGCTTCAAATAGGTTCGTCTGATTTGATGGCATCTTCTAAATATGATGTGAACCATGTGATCAATAATCATTCTTTGGATGGACAAGGTGCAGAATATTTGTTGGATGGGAGCAAGAGAATGGTAGAAAATGATTTGTTTCAAGCACTTGGCCCTATATTAACACAGAATGAGAATCCAAGTTCAAGTGAGTGCATTCAGGATTTTTATAGTGAAAAAATTGAACACGGGGCGCGGTTTCCATTATTTGACAGTGCATATGGAGATGTGCATGTCCAATGTCAGTCTGGGGATGACTTGTTTGATGTTTTGGGTGCTGATTTTAAGAAAAATCATCTAAATGGCAGCTGGAACAATGGCCAGTGCAAAGAACCAAACTCCAACACAAAGGATTGGATTAAAAATAGCTCGACTTCTACAATAAGTCAGGATGCTTCTTCTACCATCAACCAGGGAAACTCAGATAGTTGTATGTTCTCCATGACTGGCTTTGACCGTATTTTAGATACTATGGTATCAAGTCATTCTGCTAAGCAGAGCCTGGATGACAATGTTTCTAGCCGTACGACTATAACAAATTTGAGTAGCTCTTCTGCCCCTAATGCTTCATGCTCCTATGATCGAGTTGGGGTCTCCAGTCAAATTCAGGGAGAGCAGTTTGTGTCTCCCAAGACACTTTTAAAATCAGGAGCAATAAGTTCTTCATACAAATCTGAATGCTCCAAAGAAGACACAGGAATGTACTCTCAAAGTAGTTCAATTTATGGATCAACGATCAGTTCATGGGTGGAAAGTGGTTATGACACGAAGCCATCAAGCAGTGTTTCAACAGGCTATTCTAAAAAGCCAGACGAAATGAGCAAAACAAGTCGCAAAAGGCTTAAACCAGGAGAGAATCCTAGGCCAAGGCCAAAAGATCGGCAAATGATCCAAGATCGTGTGAAGGAACTTCGAGAAATTGTGCCTAATGGGGCAAAGGTGATACACATCCTTTGACACTTGGATTCCTGTTTACTTTTTGATATTTTTTATTTTATTATTTTCCTATTTTTTAAATGAAAATTTTGCTCTTGCTAATGCTTTTCCTTGATGGATCATCTGATTTCAGTGTAGCATTGATGCACTGTTCGAACGCACGATCAAACACATGCTTTTCTTGCAAAGTGTCACAAAACATGCAGACAAACTAAAACAGACTGGAGAGTCAAAGGTTGGCTCATAACTATTTAGCCTTATTTTCATGACTAGTTTCTGAGGACGTGCTTCGCACGTGTATTTCATGTGAATTTTTATAGATACATTAGAATGACTAAAATCTCATGGAAATATATATAATAAATTGTAATGAATAATAAAATATAACAATTACAAAATTCAAACACTTACGGCAATAAAACATTCACAGAAAACTAAATTAAGAAGTCTAACAGAATGAAAGAAAGACAAAAAGAAACAGAATATTTAAGAAAAAATACAATATAGACATTATTCTTATAAGATTGATGTATATATGGATGAAAAAATAAGTAAAAATTAGTACATAACTCTCTGAGTTTTTATCGACTCCTTTCATATCCTATCAAAATTCAAGAGTCTTCATCATCTGTTTTTACTATAGAATAAAAATAATACATTTGATATGTGTTTCATGAGATAAAGAAGTTGAATTTATATAAATAGAATAGAAGGAATATCAAAAGATATCTTAAAGTTTTAGTTTAAATATTTGGAGGTTATGAATATGAAAAGATGAAAGTTATGAATATTAAGAGTATAAAAGTTAAATAAGTAATTAGAAAATAATAATAAATAAATGAAGAATATGAAAAAAAATTAAAGTTAGCAAACCATGTAAAAAAGACAACTAAAGTTCTTATCATGTAATTAAGTATTGATGAATTTAAATTTGTGAAGCTAGAGTCATTCTTTAATAATAATCAAGACGACATTATCAATGTGCGTCTCCATTTTGTAGATTTTGCACCCTTTAAATTATTAAATTTCGTTATTTATCATAAAAGATAATACTTTATCCACATCAATTATATTATTTATGAGAGGGGGTTAAGGAAAAAGTTATAACAAGAGGAAAAGAAAAAGAAATTTAGGTAAAGATTTAAAAAAAAAATTATAATTATTATATACATATAGATGATAAATATTAATAGATTAGATATTTAATTAGGAATTAATCTTAGGAAGTCTAGAAGTCATTAACATTTAATTAAATTTATACAATCAAATATTTAAATATTTTATAACAATTAAATTTATAGAAAGGGTAAAACCGTAATTCAACTTTCAATTTTTTTGTTCATGCTTTTAGTAATATATGATACTGAAAAATTTGAGTTCCCGTATTGATATACTGTGTTGGGATTCAGTACTTACAATTATGGCTGGAGATCATGAAAAAAGAAAGTTCCCAAGTTCAAGAAAAGTCAGAAAAGAATATTTTAACATAATAACACTCTACATAATTTCTCAGGTTTTTAGCTGCATGGATAGCTAGTTTATGCTTTAAGTTTCATAGTTAATAAATCATATAGGAGACCTGAATTTTATGTGAGAATCGGTCATCACTTCTGACCGTTTTGAACCCGCAGATTATCAGTAAGGAAGGAGGATTGCTTTTAAAGGATAATCTTGAAGGTGGAGCAACATGGGCATATGAAGTAGGCTCACAGTCTATGGTCTGCCCTATTATAGTTGAGGATCTGAATCAACCTCGTCAAATGCTTGTGGAGGTTGGTTTCCATGCATCTCAAAATAATGATCCATGTGTTCACCCTCTAGCATATCTGACAGGACATCCATTTCTGGAAAAATATGACTGATTGTTCATCTAAACTTCCTGTTCTGTGCAGATGCTTTGCGAGGAACGGGGCTTATTTTTGGAAATAGCTGACATTATAAGAGGTTTGGGCTTGACAATCCTGAAGGGTGTGATGGAAACAAGGAACGACAAAATATGGGCACAATTTGCTGTAGAGGTAACCAATTAAGATTTGGGTATAACCTGCTTCTTGTACTCCCACAATTTTGCTTGGTTGTTTATCATTTAGTATGGCTTAGAATTTGCTAAAAACAGGCAAACAGAGATGTCACAAGGATGGAGATATTCATCTCACTTGTTCACCTCTTGGAGCAAACAGCAAAAGGTGGAACAGAACCTGTCAATGCTGCTGATAACAACACAGCAATGGTGCATTCATACCACCAAGCAGCGGCAAAACCTGCAACTGGTAGATCTTGTAGTTTGCTGTGATCGACATGCAACTACTGCTTCACCTGGTAATGTTAAGAGCAAGCGACAATTACATGCTTGCCATGACTAACATTTACACCAAAATGACTTCTGGTGGTTCTAACGCTACTCGGTAATTTTTGTGTCCCATGAGCCAAGGTGTTCAGAAACTCAGAATCCCCTGAAGACCATAAGCTCTACTTTAGGCCCTCATTCAAGGCGGATAGAATATTCCAATCCATCCCTGGTTGTAAACTTGTAAAATATGTAGCAATCAGATGCTATAGAATACCTCCTGTAGGATGCTATGATTGCACAAGTTAGTTGTTGTTTTGATTCTTTCCTTAAATGTGTTTTGTTTTATGGGGTTGGTCATAAAAAAGGTTATCTGTTAGTTTAATGTATAGGAAAGTTTGAGATGATATAAGGGGTGCTAGGAGATTTTATTACTTGATGTCTTCCTTTATTGCAATTTGTGTTTTTGGACTTCCAGTTCTGTTTCTGCTACCCAAATGACTCTTGTAATTTGTAAACCTGTCCTTTGCCCTGTATTATTTCTGTCATTTTTATGTGATTTTGCTTAGCTTACAGCGTTGCGAAAAAAAAAAAGACTATTGTCTCAATGGGTTGAATAACAATAGTTGAGTGACTTGTGTTATAAAATATGGAGTAAATTTTTGAACTACCATTAGTTGATTGACTATTGTGTTACAAAACAAGGTTAAAGAACTTTTTGAGATAAAAAAGTTGCCTTTTATTTAAAACAAGGTTGAGTAACTTTTTTGAGATAAAAAAGTTGCCTTTTATTGACATTATATACACCATAAAGGTTCTAAACAAATAATTGCCTAAAAGTTTCATCTAACAAAATTTCTTCACAGGGGAAGTTACATATTGTGTAACAAAACTTCTTGTTACACAACACCATACTTATTATGCGGATCTCTTAGAAATTCTGACTTCGTCGCTAGTCCTCACTCTCCTGCAACATCATGATGTACAGTTTCTGTACTCGGCTGATCTGGCGTTACTCTAGTTTTCCAACTGTTAGTTCTTACTCTCACCGGGGCGAGTTGATTAGTCTTCTTGAATCTTGCTGAGGTAGCAAGTTTATCAAATGATTCCACCATCTTTACGCTAGAAGAAACTATTTCTATGAGTAATGAAGCTACTGTTGCCATAGGAATGACATCAGAAAAATTTATTCCTTCCCATGAACTATTTGTGTGGAGCAAGGTCTTGAGATTTTCAGCAGCAATTTTTGCATTGTCAATGTGGATTGTGATGGTGTGTGGATATGTCATTGTCTTCATAGCCAATGCTAGTTCTTTTAAAACATGACCACATTCTGTGCTCACCTTCTTGCATGGTTCTTGAATTTTAGTTCTAATTTCAGGTTCAACCTGCAATAATTGTAGTAGATTAGTTAATTAATTAGCTAGTCATTCCATATGTTTAAGTAGGACCATATAATATAACTTCACGAAAATGATTGATATTAAACTTTTTACAATTACTTGTCTCGGTCACTTTTTAAGGTCAAAAGTTAAAACTTATTGACCTTTGAATATTTGGAAGGTCAAAAGTTCAAAATAAGCCCACCTTTTGTTTATTTGATAAATATTCTTTTCATCATATTGATATGAGTAAATAGCAACTTACTCATATCATAAATAGTCTAGTTTTCAAATATCTGAATTTTAATTTTAAAATATTAAACTAATGTAATTTAACTTCGAAAATTAGTCAGATTGACCCAGTAGAAATTATAATTACCTGAGTTTCATAGTTAAGATAGTCATTTAGGGCGTGAATTCGAAAAGCACATTCTCTAGCAATGCCACCAATTTCCAAATATCGACCCCAAGGATGACGATACCTAAACTTCCCATGTCTAGGCTCCCATCTTGCAAAATTAGCCTACAAAAACATGAAAAAAAAATTAATGAGAAAATTACAAGTACTCGTTCCGTTCTAATAATATTATTTTTTTTAAAAAAAACTGTCTCAATTTACGTGACTACTCACCAGTACTTCTTCAGCGCTTTTTGTATTAAGCACACTTTTATATCCCTCCAAATCAGACGTTTTTTGTTCACTAGCTTCTTCACTTGATGTGTTCAAGTAATCAGTCCCAAACACTGTCATGTTAACAAAATCCAAGATTATATATAACTCATTTCTAATTTTGGTTTATGTAAAAGTATAAAAATAAAAACTATATATACATACCTTCAAGAAAAGAGCCAATTTTTTCAAAGTTTGATGAAATTTTATCGTGAAGTTGTTGACCAGCCCAAACAGGACATATCAAAACGCAAACAAGGAAAGCAATGTCACATCCTATAAGAATAGTGGTTATCCTTGTTTCTGCCATTTCCAACACTTGTTTATCGTGATAACCAGAAACGGACACCAATGAAAATGTCAAAATAAAAATAAGGACACCATAGTCATATCTTGCCTTCAACTTTGGTAGAAATCTCAAATATGTCACTATTGCAACTGCATGTACAAAAAATAGCATTCGTTACAACACATATAATCTTTAGAGAAAACTACTGAAAACATTTACTTGACTAACTGAACTTAAATACACTTCTGATCTTATAGAGTTTGTTATGTCATGTAACAGATCGGGGTATCTAAATTTAGTTAGTCAAAATATATGGATGTTATTTAATTTTTTTTAATGAATTACCTATTAAGAAGAGAAAAAACCCAAGTAAAATAGGCTCTATTGTCTTTGACCCAGAGAAACAAGCTAATCGATGAATTCCACCAGCTACTGAAGCACCTAAGCATGTTGCAATTGCTCTATTTATAGCTCTTCCAAGTGTTGCTCCTGCAAAACAACAAATATAAATTTTAATCAACTAAAACATAGTAATAAATTCATAATCTAAAATGAAATAGGGCAAAAAATTCAAGTAAAAATGTTTAGTGGTGTATAAGCCAACATGCACTGTCTTGTTAACATTTATGTCGACAGTTTTCTGATCAGCTAAAAGATAACTAGCCATATAACATGACATGTTATCTAAAAAAAAATAGAGCGTAATAACTTACCAACAGTAAATTCGAAGACGACGACGACCGTAAGAACAGCCCACATTGCAGAAACACCAAAACCTTGATACTCAAATTTAGGCTCAAAATAGTAGAAGAGTGAGACTAGAGTTATAGCAAACCCTACTTTGAGAGAATGAACAATTATTCTAGGATCTTCTTTTCCTAAGTTCTTTGCACTAATTGCATTATCGACAACCTTAACCATAAAAGTTTTAACTAATTGTTTGAACCAAAGCCATGCATTAAGGAAACATCCACACTCAGCAACTTCAGCTTGATTTTCAACAACAATAGTCATTTTAGCTTAGGTATTATAACTTTGTTGTTTCTACTTCTAGAGAAGAATTAATTAAAATTGGTTTGGACTTAATGTAAAAGTTTCATTTCTATTTATAAGAACAAAAAAAATATGAGAAATTGACTGAGAGTTGACAACAAAGAAATACAGATACGTACGATTTTATTATTTTAAAAATTGTTGTTGGGATGTATTTTGCACCTTTCTTTTGGCTTCAAGATTCTAGGAACACGTTTCCGTGTGCTTAGCTGTAGCAGTCAGTAATAAAAGTTTCGAGTTCGAGCCTTGACACCCACCTTATTAGAATAAAAATGTATAAAAATAAATAAATAATATATTTATATGGAAAATAAGCATTTTTGACACATTAAATAACAATAAGAATAATTTTAAATTAAAGTATTGACAACAAGAATATTTTTGTATCAAACTCATAAACAGAAATTTTTTTTGTTTATTTGACATAGTTTAAAAACATTTTTGACTCATTTCTGTTATCTAAGTGAAGATATTAAAATCCGATAATAGAGTTAGACATATTCTATTTCCTAAAAATGACTCGAATAAATAGACTCAACAATAATCATTGATTTAACTCTATTATATAGTCTCAAATTAGTTACTTGTGCATTTCATATCACTACAACAAAAATATCATTAGCGGCAATTAAGAATCACTAAATATATATTTTCAGCAGTAATTATCACACTTTTATATAACATTGGTTTCAATAACACTCAACTAATACCGATAAAGGCTTTAGCATTCTTTATTAATATCAATATTTAATGCCGCTAAATTTTTTTTTGTTATAGTGCATGTACGTCACTAGCTAACTATAGATGTTTAATTAGTGACCTAAATCCCAAGTACATAAATATTTATGTTTTCACCATTAGTACATTAAATGTAAATAATGTATCGTAGAACTCAAAACACATGTAGATCTACTAATAATTAAATTTCGAGTAATTAAAAAAATTATGAAATATGTGTGTGTCCTCCTCGTCGATCGGTCTGAGTTGTACATCGTAACACTTTGTCAGTATATGACGCAGCTTATTAACAAATTACTAATTCAAAATAAATAAATGTATGTATGGTACTGTACTAACATATAAATTATAATGCTATCTCCAAGAATGATTGAGCACCTAGTTTTGAGATTCCTTTTTTTCAATTTTGCCATGCTAAAGATAGATGGGAACTCGACAATTATATGAAGAGCCTCTTATCATTCATTTAATAATCTGTTTGGTTAATCTTATAAAATCTAATATTTTAAGAAGTACTCTCTCCGTTCCACATCATACATTCAATTTATTTAGAGTTAATGCTTTTCAAAATTTGAAAATAATTAATCGGGTAAAATGATATAATTTCTTTGTTTTAAAAAAAGTGATTTCATTTTTTTCAATCTGTTTAAAAAATAATGATCTTTTCTTTTTTTGGTAATATTTTAATTTCAGTTTTTCACGTGGCATGTTTAAGGCCACGAGATCAAAGAGCAATTTTGTACATTTGATTTAATTTTAATTTAGAACAACAAGATTCAAAAGTTTTTTTTGTAAAGTTTTTTTGTATTCTTCAACTCTGTGTCAAGTCAAACCAAATAATTCTTTGTAAAACGAAAAAAAGTATATGAGAATAGGACAATATATACATGTAAATAGAACAAAGAAAGTATTTTATATACATGTAAATAAGACAATGGGAGTATTTTTTTAAAAAAAAATACTTTCTGATTGAGAAGTAATTTGTGTTTGGTCAATTAATCTATAAATTACTTTTGAGTTTTGATCAAGCTTTGAAAGGTGTTTCTAAGTGTATTTTCTCAAAAAAAAAAAGAATATTTTTGAGAAGAAAACTATATTTTTTTAGCTAAAGAAAAACAGCTCATAAGCACTTCTCCCAAAAGTTCGACAAACATCTTATGACCTTTTAAAAATAAATCATTTTGATCTCTACAAAACTTGATCAAACCATGAGTTTAACTGAATTATATTGTTTTCAATATAAATTCAATGACTTGTAGTATAAAGTGTGTATAATGATAATAAGTACGTAGTACTTTTTTTAGATCTAGATCGTTAAATTTCTAGCTTTAATTATTTAATTTTAAAGTAAACATGTCGTATGTATATCTTTTTATGAGTCAATAAGAAATTCTTCGATAAAATCTCCTTATGACACTTCTGTTTAGAGTAAATTGCAATTTATTTCAAATATACGATACATTAAGGAACGATCTAATTAAGAGGATCTCAAACTTTTTTCGTACATATTTTGAGTTCGAAGTCAAAAGGGTAACTTTTTTCCTTCATAAAATCAAAACGACACATCAAAAAAAAATTAACCAAAAGGATAAAATCACTTCGTGGGAGCGATTTTCTTCTGACAAACCTCCGTTTATTACAAAAATAAAAATCGCTGTCTTATAAGCGATTTTCTTTTAAAAAAAAACTTTTTTTCCTTAAAATGAGTTTTTTTTTAAAACCACTATACTTCCAGCGATTTTGATAAAATAAAAAAGAAAAATCAGGAATTTCTTTTTGTGATGTGTTCAATCTTGCTCCTTTTGAATTTTTTTTGGATTCAATATTCTTTTTTATTATTTATGATATAAAATTCAGTTTACCTCATGCTTCAACAATTTTATTGAGTATATTGTCCTTCTTGTTAATCATTTTTATATTATTAATAATTAACAATAGAAATGAAAATTAATAGCACATTAACAATAGAAACGAAAAACGCTGCTCCTGCAGCGATATAAGGAAAACAAAACTCGACTTAAAATTGCTATCGCAACAGCCATTTTTAAAGAAAAAAAGTTTTTAGACAAAATCGCTTCTAAGGCAGCTATTTTTAATCATTTTGTCATAGGAAGATTAATTCGTCGGGAGAAATTTTGCCCTTTTGATTTTAAAAAAATTTAATATGCCTTTTTAAATTTTTTGATAATTATTTTGTCTTTTTAACTCCGAACTCTACATATTTGAGCATGTGTGAATGTGCCTTCTCAAATATTAAAAAAGATAGATAGAGAGAAAAAAAAAACTAGATATAATACTAAAGAATAATCCAATAAAATATATGTGTATATAGAACGTGTGATAATTTGTTAAGGGCATATAATCACATGGAAAATATCTTATACTTGTTTAGAAATTAATTATTGGAGATCCGTGGGAACTGTATCATCCCATACTGATTTGGCAAGATCATGGGTAAGTGATATAAGTCGTCAAATATCGCACATGTATTTAGTTAAAAAAAATTAAAAATTTGACTTAAGTGTTGAAATGTTTCCCATGTCTAGATCATAGATATTGCAAGATTTATTTTCTCATTTATCTCATATTTAAGTATAACTATTGTCATTAATATGGAGTTTAATTAAAGTTCAAAAGTAAAATTTATTTAGAATTATGTTCAATTGTGTTGTAAGTATAAATCATCCATGCTTATGATGTAGTCAATCTTTTTATACGATGAACCAAAAATGTAAAAATAATATACTTGCCCGCTAATCATGTTTTACTGGAGTTCAAAGTTTATAGGGCAAAAAAATTTAATAAAAAATTTAAAAGTGCATATCAAAAAAAATTTGAACAAATATCTCTGGGCGACTTTCGCTTAGTAGGATAGCAATTTTGGTTTAACTCTGTTACTCTGTTAAACAATCAAAATCGTTGACATACCCGTGACTTTGTCCAATTTTTTTCCATTTTTAAAAAATAAATCTCTGTTCGTGCAGTGTTTTTAGGATTTTTTTTAAAACAAAAAAACAAATTTGGTGAAATTTATTTTTCCAATTTTAGTAGCATTTGTATATTCAGGTTACTAATAAAAAAAATAGTAAATTAATGAAGATAAAGATATAATTATCTTCCCGCCGATAGAAAACCACTTAAAAAAAATTTTAAAAAAAACTTTCACCAAAATTGTTGCTAGGGAAGCGATTTTTAAGAGAAAAAAAACTTCACCTAAATCATGGCATTTGTAAAAAATAATTGGTTTTGATTTATTTTTTTTTAAAAAAATGTTTCTCAAAAACGCTGCACGAATAGTGATTTTCTTTTTTAAAATGAATTTTTATTTTGGACAAAATCGTTGATAGGTCAGTGATTTTGATTGTTTAACGGAAAAATGGAGTCAAAACAAAATTGCTACCTCACTAGCGATTTAGTTCCTTTGGTTTAAAAAAAAATTGTTGTCTTTTTAGAATTTTTGTCAAACACTTTTTGCCCTTTAGGCTCCGATCTCTGTTTTAGTGTTCATTTTAATTGGAACAATATTTCAAACTGGTCCGAGTTTTCACACACCTCAACTAATTTCACGGCATATCTATTTCAAGCTGATTTTTTCATCGTGTAACAACTTACAACCATAGAAATGAGATGTTGGTTCAACTAAAAGTGCTTTATTGAAAGAAGAAAATTTTTCATGGTCTAAATACTACTACAATACTAGAAGCAGCACTATTAAAGACAGTTCATCAGTTGAAGCTCAAGAATCACTAATAAATTCCAGGGACTACCCGGTAAGGCACCTTTTCACAATACTTTTTCCAGTATTTGCCATACCTGCAAAGAAGCAAGACATTATCAAACTCTCACCTTCACTAGATTTTCATAAGACACCAAAGAGATTGAAACGTCCTGTTGTTTACTGATATTAGGGGGGTAAAATGCTTGCGCTAAATCTTTTCATCAGTTTTAGTTCAATCTAACTTCATACCTCGAGCTGCTTATACCTCGAGACTATATTAAAAGTAACATCCTTTTATGAGGGGCTGGACAAGGAAACCTCAGATAAAGACGTCTATTCATGTCAGTTTTTAGCCCTATGTAGCTTGGATCTTCCAAAGACGTGTGTGGCAGCATTTTTGGAGGATCCAAGCAACATAGCATCCGGCAAGAACTCTCTGTATCTCTCTCAGTAGGACATACAATGGACTATAATTTCGCCATTTCCTCAACTAAAAAATGAAAAT